TGATTTCTTAAAAGGAAAGTCGAAGAAGAAAAATTGATAATTGAAACGAGTAGGGTTTAGAAAATATCAGAATAGAAAAGACGTAGAAGAGTGTTGGATAGGTTAGATTAGATTTAGAAAAACACGGGCACTTATGTCCATTTAGCGAAAATAATTAAAATAATTTTTTGTGACAAGTAAAAAGGTATTTGTGTTCATTGATTGGTTGTATTTGACTTTGATTCCCATATATATGCGGCTTAGGAATAGTGTTCTTTTTGTTCTCGTGGCATGCCAAGCTAAGAGAATCCTTGCTATGTAAGTTAAAGTGTTTTGTTTTGGGATGAAGTTTATACTTTTGTTTATTTGTTAGTCTTAAAATAAATTCGGTAATTCGTTGGTTGCATTTATCTGTAGAAGTATGCATGTGTGTTTTGTAGAACAATAGTAAATGTTGCTCTAATTGTTAGTGCGGATGACTCATGAGTATTTTTATTAAGAGATTGGGTTGGATTGGGTCGCGGGCTTGAACATAAAGCCCGAGCCTTGACTTTGCGGACCCCCGTTTGTTATGAGCTAGCTAACCCAACCCCTACGCAAAAACTCCAAGCTCAAGAACACTTTTTTTGCGAGCCAGGTAGATATCCAAGGGTTGTGGTCGGGTCCAAATTCAAGCTCGAATAAATGATTTAGAAATCGGTTCCAAAAACTTACAATATTCAATTTCACACCGGGTTTAAGCGTAATTGGTACGTACTTTTGCGAATAGGTTCAAGCTCTTCCTTCTCCGATGTGAAACCGTCGCAATCAATCAAGGAATCACGAGTGCGAACGGGTTTCGGGTACCTATCGAGAATTGGACACGTACCAAGCTTAGCTTACAACTCACAATTCCACAAATATGTGCATTTCAGTAACGCGGCTCCAAAGCCGTGGAAAAGAATAACCCCAAAAACTGAATAGTTCCAAAAACCTTATTAAAAAAAGTGCCATCTACTAGTTCTCATCTGCATGCCTTTAAACACATAAATTTATAGCTTTGACTGGGAATTGCATCCATCCATTATTTGATGATCTAAAAGGAGCTTATAATTATCTTTGAATAAAAGAGGTTTGTTAAAGTAGCACTTTGCACTATGGGGCAGCTGTTGATGAGACTTTATCAAGATGCATGGCTTAACTAATTGCTTGCCTGTGATATTTTTAAATTGCCAATTAACTTTAATTTATTAGGGTAGCTAATTAAGATAGCTTAACTTGCTTGCTTGAGATACTTTTTAAGTGGCCAACAACATGACTTCATTTCTAGTAACTCTATTATAATGGTAGTCTCCGTCCCTACTTTATGAATCTAATGACGTACAATGAGTTAATGACTTTTGAAAATCGATTCTGGCCTGGTAGGGTAGGCATCTCATATACTTCTTCTATCTCGAATTAAGTTGCATGTTTACTATTCATAGGGTCAATTAACTTTATTCAATTTCTTTCCTTATTTTTGTTGCTTGTTTGATAAAATAATAAAATCATGTCGGGTTCTTGTTTTGTAGAGGTTTTGCTATAGTTTTTTAATATGTAAACTTTAATTTTTAATTCCCCTCTAATATTATAATAAATTGCATTGAAAATAACTTCAGTCAAATATCTTAAACCAAAATAGATAATTTAAATTGAGGACGGATGGAATAAAATCTTGGAGTGTGGTCTTTCTACCACTCGAGCCAAGAAAAAAAATCTACATAAACTCAAGTCAAATATCTTAAACCAAAAAATCTGCGGAGTATATTGCAACCCCATATCATGGGATGACACGGCCCCGCTACGGTACCCTCTTTATAAAATTGACGTCTTTTACCCCCTTAACTCCCGGTAAATCCCACCCTGTCCCGACTCGAACACACCCCCACCCCCTTCAATAGCACCCCTAAATTAATTTTGACTTTATAGTGATCAAAATTGACTTCAAAATCTAAATTAACTTGAGGGTGCAATAGAAGAGGGTGAGAGTGTGTTCAGGTCGAGACGAGGTATGTGGATTTATCGGAGATTAAAAAACGTCAATTTTACGAACGAAACATCATGCAGCCCTGGGGCCCGTAAATTTAATTTTATTAACAGCCAGAGGAAATAATAACGGTCACCGGAGTAGCAGTGGGCAAAACTACTAATGCGGGGACAATGAGGATTAACAAACGATTAAAACCGAATCGTTTGTATAAGATCTTTTCTTTTTTTAATAAAATAAAAAATATAAAATACTCCGAATGATCTTTTAAAGATCCAATCCATCATCTCAATATAGCAATAATTGGTTGAATAGCTTTGGAAGAATCAGAGTATATCAAATTCCCTCACAAAGATTTGCTCATTTCGTAAGCAAATTAAGAAAGAGGAACACTGCTTGCTTTTGAATTGCATTGGTGCGTCTTTGACTTTATTGCTTCGGATTATACATCTTTCAAAAGTTTTGGGTCGATCGGGAAAACCGAAAACCGAACCGAAATCGATTGAACTGTGCCAATTTCTTTTTTTTTTTTGAAATTTGCTACACATATATTATCCTGAAAGCTTTGACATAGGGTGGTAGAATAATAACGTATCCATTCTGTTTCTAATCGCATCAGAAGCTAACCCGTGTGGTTTAAATTCAATCCACTGGTTAGGATTAAGATCTGAAAATGAATATGTGAGTTACTACTTAAAAGAATAAAGTAGCCATTATGTTTCTTGAACAATTATAAGGCCCCGTTTGGTATACGGAATTCAAACTATGGAATTAGAATTGAGGGCTTCAATTCCAATTCTGGTGTTTGGTAGTACAAAAATTGTGTGAATTTGGAATTGATAGTGCAAAAAATGAATTAAAATTGGCAGAATTCAATTCTATGGAATTGTATCCCATGAAATTTCAATTCCAATTCAATTCCAATTCCATCAATTCCGTGTACCAAACGGACCCTAAATGATGTTTTGTTGTTTTTCTAAACTTGGGCAAGTAATCAAGTATGTACTCCATGGCAGTTTCTCAATTTTGGATTGTAATTTCAGTTTTTGGAAAGATACTTACAACCTTTGGGACTTATAATTACTACTCTCTCCATTCTTTTAAACACTTCTTATTTTGATTTTAGTTAACTTTCCTATTTTACTTATGATGTGATGGGTAAAAGCAAGATGTGATAGTCTTGCACGATGCATAACAAGACTTTAGAAGTATAATAGCACAAACTTCATAGCTAATTTGCCTAATTGTATTGCTTTTTAAATTGTTGATGCGAAAATAGATTGAAACAAAGAGAAGAAGAACAAAATACATTAAATAATAATGCGCCGCCGTGAGCTCCTCCACTTTACCGCAGTCCGCAGAATACTTATCCTCACGCCTCACGGACCGTATTATAAGGGCCATGGTACACTTATACCAAAAATTGTATCACATTTGTACACCACAGTTATACATAAAGATTTTGATGGTTTATACTGACACAAATGTTGATGCGTTAACGAAAATTTATACGGACACAAAGTGTTGGTGCGTTAACAAAAATTAGTTTTACACCAACACAAAATGTCGATGCAAACCTACGGTATACAAAATGGGGTACAAAAGTTTGGGGTACAAATAGCTTTATCGGTATTAAAATGAAGAACTTATCCATTCTAGTCCAAGTAGATTAATGAGCTTGTATTTCGTGTTATACTCCATCCGCCTATAAATGTTTACCACAATTCTAAAAATTAGACAAAATTTCAAATTTTTTCAATTTATTTTATTTAAATATTGGTATAGAAATAAAAAATAAAATTTACATATTTAAAAAAATGAAAAAATTTTACAAAATAAGAGGTGTCAAGAATATTTTATTTTATCAAATGACTAATGAAAATTTACAAATAAACAAAAGTTCTCGTAACTGGTGAAAAAGCAAACGTGACAAACAATTTAGAAGCAAGGAAGTACTATGGATGACTAGATTACCCATTTTTTGTGCAACGAAGTATATATAGGAATATTTGTCTTTAAAATAAAAAGTTCTATACCGACATCGACGTTAGAGGTTAGCGTTGTTGTTTTTGATAAAATTATCTGACGATAGTCTCTACCTTTAGCATTTTCAGCAGTAATCTGCATCATTAAAATTTTATTCAAAACGTCAATGCTAATCAAAAATGTTGTTTCTAAAACCTATACGCAAATACAAACTAGAGAGGGATTATTTTCTAATTAGTAGGAATGTACTCCATATATAGAGTGGTAATTGCTCAAGACTAACTAACTATACAACCCCATACAATGTGAAAATAATTACTCCGTAGTATTATTATATAATAAAGGTTCTATCCTTATACTATCTCTGTCCCAGAAAACCTTTCTCTTTTCTTTTTTCATCCGTTCCAAAAAACACTTCTCATTTCTATTAAAAAGTCACTTTTACCCCTTATTTTTTTCTACTTTACCTATCACATCATACCTTTTTACTAATAATATATCCATCAAATCATACTTTTACCCATCACATCAAAGGACATTTTTGGAAATTCAATACCAAAATACACTCCCCTTAAATCATTCTCCAAAACCAAAACTCCCATGTTTTCCGGGACGGAGATAGTATATATTAATGGGATAATCTTAATTATAATAGAATATATACAAAATTATGAAAATAATAGAATAATGACAGTAAATTATAATAGTATTTTATTTCCATGGAGTGTGTTGGCAATTGCAACGACATGAGGGCTTGGATTTCAGGTCACGTCTAATTAAGGATATATTTGATGAGCAAAAATAATATAGTAAGATTTGGTGAAGATTAAACAGATTTCAGATTTGATATCTCTAAATATCACAATTTTGACAGTAATTTTGACAGTGAGAGACAATTGACAAATGACAATGCACTTGTTTGAAGTTTGAACACACATGTGACACACATTTGCCTTGGGTAGTGAAAATCCTGGGGGGCATTTTGGATTTTAGACTAAAACATGAGCGGGGCTAGGCGCAAAAAGAATGAAATGAAGGGGTTTAATTGTAATAAAACTTTCCGTCTCCGTTTTCTCAGAATCCTCTAAATTCATTCATCGATTCCATTCAGCACCGTCTCTCACCAGCAAATCTAGGGAAGGAAGAGAAACGATTGAAAAAATGAGTTCGAAAGTCCTGGGATTTACGTTAGTTCTGACCTTAGGGTTCTTCTTGACCCGGATCCACTCTCTCCGGTTCGATCTCCAATCGGGTCACACCAAATGCATAGCTGAGGACATGAAGAGCAACGCCATGACCGTCGGCAAGTACCACGTCGTCAACGCCAATGAAGGATACCCTTTGCCCGATACTCACAGAATCACCGTTCGGGTCAGTCTTCTTCGCCGATCTCCCCTAATTTGTTTTACTCCTTAAAAAACATTAGATATATAATGATTTTTTTTGTTCAAATAGAACTTGTTTTGTCGTAGGAATTTTTTATTTTGGGTGTGTAGGAGTATTTATTGATTGATTGATTTTTAGTCCTTTTTTTATCCTTTAAAATTGCAAATATTAGTGCGTTGGAAGGGTTCCATTTTGCACTTTCTCTTTCTGTCTTTTGCTTGAAGATATTGTTGGTCTTGTTGTTTGTTGTTATGGATTTGAATTGCAATGCTTGATCTCTTTGCTGGTTTTAAATATGAAAATAGTGAACACATTTGGATTAGCAATCAAACATGTGATGTGTGCTAATGGGTTCGGGGGGATTTTGGTTTGAGGGTGTCAGGTGACATCGTCGTACGGGAATACCTATCACCAGGCAGACAATGTGGTGGAAGGGCAGTTTGCCTTTCAGACAGCAGAAGCCGGGGACTACATGGCTTGCTTCTTTGCTCAAGATCACAAGTCTCCCGCCACACTTAGTGTGGACTTTGATTGGAAGACGGGGATTGCCGCTAGAGACTGGACGAATGTTGCAAAGAAAGGCTCCGTTGAAGTAAGTAAACCTCATTTCTCTATCTCTCTCTTTCTCTCTTCCAAAAATTTCATCTACGAGTATTTGTTTTTCTGAATTTGTAATGCTCTGCTCGTTTTGTTTGTTATAGGCAATGGAAATAGAACTAAAGAGAATGTATGAGACTGTACAATCCATTCATGATGAGATGTTCTATCTTCGTGAAAGGTAACTCAATCGTAACGTCTGATGTTCATTATAATATTTTTTTGAAGTAAAAAAAAAAGAAAACTTGGTTGTTTGTACTTTGCAGAGAGGAGGAAATGCAAGAGCTAAATAGATCAACTGTTACCAAAATGAACCTGCTGTCCTTTGTGTCACTTGTTGTTTGTTTGTCCGTGGCTGGGCTTCAGGTATGGCATTTGAAGACCTTTTTCGAAAAGAAGAAGCTTATATGATGTTGTATTGTCTCTTTTATATCAAGTCTCTTTTTATGTACAATCAAACCTTAGATCAATATGCCGAAGGATAAATGAACAGTTTTCGATGATTTTCCTTTTCGTGTCATTTTCCTGAAATTGCGGCTGAAACTTCGTTATTGTTATTCCCTCTATTCTGCTTCAATCATGCATTCACTTTGGTTTTGTTTGGCATATGGAATGGTCAAACAACTATTATGGGTTTCAGTATACTGAATATATATATAATATACACTAATGGATAAAACCTTAGCCTGGTAATCAGGAAGCAAAGATGTTCCAATGATTATCTGATGGAAGAATCTCAATGATCCTCTCTAATCTCTTCATTATCTCCAAGAAAGAAGGCCTCTGGTTCATATCTCCTGCCCAGCACTGATCAACCAGCCTTCAAATTCATCCAATTCCACACATCACCAATGAATAAAGATGAGAGGTGGTGTTCAATGTTTTGAAAATTTGGATTTGATACATAAAAACAACTCACTCTCTCAGTTCAGGTATGAATCCTTTGGCCCGGAAAGCAGGCCTGTGGCCGTCAGCTACATATTTAGCTGCTTCATACGCTTCACAGTGAGACAACGGTGCATCCCCTTCTATCATCTGCACTAACCCATCCACGACGTTCACTTTATTCGTGACTTGTTTCTTAGGTTTCCGTGATTTCCATCTCCCCCTTGTTCAAACATTCATGATGAAAAGAAGAAAAAAAAGTATGGAGAAATCATTAAGTTACCTCATATAGTATCATTGCGAAGGAGAACACGTCCACCTTCTTGTCATATTTCCTGTGCTTGAAAACTTCGGGCGCCATGTACCGATCTATAGAAGGGAGATGCCAACAACTTCACTAACACTTTCAGAACAACACAATCACAATTCACAACCTGAGGGGTGAGAATGGAAAAGAAATAAACTCACAGCTCCCGGTTTCGCCAGTCATTTTGTACACATCATGCGAATTTTGTACCCGAATGAGCTTGCTTAGCCCAAAATCTCCAACTTTCAGATGCTCTGCACTGGAATTCACTAGAAGAACATTCCTGAGATATGATTGATTATTCACACCAAGGAACATTTTTAGTATGACCTCTCAATTCCACTGAATTCTAATACCCATGAATCCATCATACAATGCAATGATACAAAACTTTCCTGGGTTTGAGATCCCTGTGGATAATTACATTCGGTTCATTGTGAAGATAAGCCATTCCTCTGCTCGCATTATTAGGTTGAACAATAGATTAGAGTTGGACAAGTGAGGGAGTTAGCAAATAATCACAATTCAATAATAATAATATTATTAGAATTGCAACTACCTAGCGATGTCCATTGCAAAATTGATAGCTGTCAATGGGCTAAGAGCGCCTTTTCCCTTGAGGTACTGATGAAGATCACCCTGTGACAACATATATTGGTTGAAGGAAGTGTATTATGAGAGGAAAAAGATACGAAAATATGCGGTTTGCTTACCCCTCTTAGATACTCTGTAATTAACATCAACGGCTTTTGGTCAGTTACAGCTCCTAGAAATTGAACCACATTAGGGTGACGAAGTTTCACCAACAAATTCACCTCATGCCTGAAATCCTGTCTGTATAGGAAAAGAACGATGACAAAATTAGGTCTTGTTTCACTGAAATGGCGAGTAATTGTAGCAGGTGATTTATATCATTCTATGGCTGTTGGGAAGGAATGCTCTGTCATTCCCATTAAGGCACCTTACATCACCAAGCGGTCATCGGAAAGGTTGGGAAGAATGCGTTTTATAGCAACCGGAGTTCCACGCCAATAAGCTTTTAGTATCTCGCCGAATGACCCCTATATGTTTGTTTGTATCAAACTGCTAGTCAGCATGGTTATGTACTATGTATAACATGAAACTAAGAATGTACAGGTTTATGGGATGATGGTACCAAAGTTGATAACATGAAAGACAATCACAGAGACAAGTCATTGTGAACCTTAGACAAACAACTTCTTAGATTTGTTTTTTACCTTTCCAATTATGACAGAGTTTGAGAAGTCCAACTCAGAGGGATCAACCTCCCAATCACATTTATTTGGCAGGGGAGGTGGAACTGGCCTTGGCTCTGAATGGCTTCCATTTTGTCCCTAAAGAGTATTACCACCAATATTAGAGCATAATAATCTGGAGGAATCAAACAAACAAGCATGCATCCCTCTCTCCAGGTGCATATGAATGTGGAAATGTCGAGTTTGACCTTTTATTCTGGAATATGTCATTTGAAGCTAAGGAATTGAACTTACATAAGATTGCCCCCCATAACACTTGAGTAACTCGATCATCCGAAGCTTTCTAGATCCTTCCGCATCCGCTAGAGGCTGTTATCATGTAACATAATTCATACACAACATTTAGTTTCATTTCAACATACAAGGATCAAAACGAGTATTTTTTCCGTATTTTATTCATAATATAAATATACTCTGTTTTTTTTAAAAAAAAATGTGCAAACGAAAAAACAGAGTATGTATGTGTATATACCGTATTTCTCCAGCGATCTAGAGCATTGACGTCGGCACCGTAATCAATCAAGCAGTTGGCCACGTCGACCAAGCCGTGGAGAGCAGCGACGTGGAGCGGAGTGCGGTGGTCGTAATCTCTGGCCTGGACCAGCGTCCGGTCTTCCTCCAGAAGCTTCCGTACGGCCGCGGCGTCGTTCTGGCGAGCGTGCCACAGAATCATTGACGTCCGGCTCGGTTTCCCCTTCCCTTTCCTTTTCGCCGCCGCCGTTTCTCCACCGCCGAATTCGCCTTTGCTTCCGCTCATCTAGATTTTGGATCGTCGCCCTCTGAGCTCGCTCGCCTCCTTCTAGGTTCGTTTGCTTTTTGATTGTTTCTATTCTATATCGCAGGTGCCTGAGATTGCGAGCTTTCTGTTATTCCTCCTACCCGCTAAATTTGTCGTGAATAATGTTTCACCGCAGATCTTTGAAATCTGTTGTGGCTTTGGTTCTTGGTTATTTGGTTCGAGATCTATATTTTAGTTTTTAAAAATAAGAATTTTTAGCACTAAAAAGGTTGTAACAATACTAAGGCTCTCTTCCGTTCAAATTATTTTTCCTTTCTCATATGATTTTTTGTAGTTCTGATCTGTTCTGATTGGATCTGATCTGATTCGATTTGATCTGATCTAATCTGATTAATTATGATTTGATTTAAAATTCAAATCAAATTATTGATTTGACTTTATAATAACGTTTAAACATTGTAATGATAATTCATATTATAATATAATTAATATTTTTTATTTTATTATTATTTTTTAATAAAACAAAATTAGTTAATTCATATATTAGAATAATCATTCATATTATAATAAAATAGTATTTTTTATTTTATGATTATTTTTTTGTGAAATAAGAATTTTGATTTAGTATTTTAATAATTAGTTCTTATATACATTAGAAAAATATTTAATTTATATGTACATTGAAAAGTAATTAAATTTAGATAATCAATATATAGAAAAGATAGTATTTTTATTAAAATATCTCATCCTTATAAAAGATCAAAAGTTTAGAAACTCAAATTACAAGTAGCAATAAAAATGTGTTTTAAAAGTAGAATTAGATGACATTGTCAATGTATTTTAAAACTAATTTTTCCGACGTCTAATAATTAAGGATTACTTTATCACTTTTCTATTTAATTTGTTTCTAAAGTTTATTCTTCTTCTTTTTTAATAATAATAATAAAAATAATAATAATGATGATGATAATAATAATAATATGGTCCGGTTCTAGTGACATCGGAAAACGGTGCCACTCCGGTGCCACTGCGTTTTTGGAGCACCTTCGGTGCTCCGTTCGTAAAATTGACGGTTCCTACCTCCCCTAACCCACCCCCTAAACCCCTCACCCTACCCACACCCCTGCACCCCCACCCCAACCCCGCCGTAAGCCCCCCACAAAATGTGTGGCTATTATGCATTTTTGGGGGGCTTACGGCGGGGTTGGGGTGGGGGTGCAGGGGTAGAGGTAGGGGTAGGGTGGGGGGTTTAGAGGGTGAGTTAGGGAGGGTAGGAACCGTTAATTTTACGAACGGAGCACCGGGCGTGCCCCAAAAACGTAGTGACACCGTTTTCCAGTGTCACTAGAACTCCACCGATAATAATAATAATAATAATAATAATAATAATAATTCTTGATGGGATCTGATCTGATCTAATCTGGTTTGATCTGATCTGATTTTAATAAAAATAAGACAAAATAAGTTGAACGGAACGGTGCCTAATTCGATGAATCAATTAAAATATGTAGGCTTGAGTTTGGTTTTTTCAGTTCGATTTTTACCAAAACCAAAAATCGAACAACGGATTAGAGTTCAGTTCAATTTTGCTTTACGTAAAAGATATGTCGTGAGTGCCAAACAAACATCTAAGAGATTTTAAATACTCTAAAGCTTTTGTTTGTAAATATTAATTACGTAGAATTTACTTTTATATAATACTTTCATTTTCATTATAATAACAAATTTTTTCATGTAAATATGTAAATTATTCGTATCAATTTTTATATTTTTACATATATTGGTAATTTGCTCTGAAAATGAAGTGTTACAAAAGGGAGAAAAATTATTAGGCCTACAATTTTTTTTCAAAAAATGGAAAATGAAAATTTTATTTTTTTAAAAAAATTATGAGACGGAGGGAGTAGTACTGCAGTTTACAATTACATTAAATTTAATCAATTTTATTTAAAATTACCAGTAATTCTAAATTTAGTTAAATACTTTCTTTCCTTTCATAAAAATTGTTCATTTTTTTCATTTGGTTTAAATATTTTTTTATTTTCCCTTGTCTTTTGAACTGATATACTCCAATTTCTTTCCTTTCATAAAAAGATAGAATATTTTTCTATCTTTTTTAAAGAAAAAATTCCATCAACTTAAATACGAAACAATAACCGCTAGGGGAACAGCTTCCCGCGATGCATCTTGAATCACAACATGTCTAGCAAGAGAGCGCGCTATAATGCTAGACTTTCGACTAAGAGAAGAGACATAAACAAAAGGTCTGTTTGAAAATAGCGTTAGACACAAAATTTTAACGATGCAGATTAATTACTTTGAAAATGCTAATGTTAAATGCCGGTCGCAGATAGTTTTTTTAAAATGTTAGCACTAATTTCTAACATTATTTCTAAAGAGATCCAGTCAAAGTAGGATACAAACTCTCTACAATCAATGATAATATAACCAAAATAAGAAAGTGCGAAATAGTTCTCCTTCTATTCAAGACTAGACTTGAATAAGGACAACACTTCTTTGGATGTCATAGACAAATCTTGCAAACCCTGTAGCTTCCCATTAATGGCCGCAACAAAAACTCCATCTAAACTCAGAATAACAATTACGAACCCAACCATGTCCACATGAGGATAAAGTAAGGCGTGACGGCTTGATCAATCTCCTTATTTATATATATATATATATATCAGAGTAGCTCGATCGGCTCTTGACCCACTTCTTACGCCAAAATATTACTTTTTGAATCGGTTGGTTTCAGTGGCAGAGCCACATAAGGTGAAGTGGCCTGGGCGCAGTAGCAGTGTAGCACCAATTGAATTGGGATAACAAAATGCATATGTATTAGTTGATCACCTATATTAGGTTGCACGCTTGGTTTAAGGCAAGTGGATGAGTTTGAAAAAGTGAGAGCTCAAATCCCCTTTTAGGAAATAATCCTTTTATTATTAACTCTTTCTTGTAATTTTTTATACTTTATATGATCTCACTCCATCAAATATCTCGCTCCGCCACTGGTTAGTTTTTGCCTTTTAAATCGGTTGTCAATCAATGTTTGGTAGCGATGCAATTAGTACAAATACTTTTTGCATCGGCTGTTCAACCGATTCAAAAAGTCTCTTTCAGAATCGGCGACAGTTCTAGAATGGATCTTTTGAATTAATTGTTTTAAAACAACCAATTCAAAAGGTATAGCAGCCCAAAATAGAACAAAACTGCACCAGAAAACTTTCCGTGAACAAAACCAAAACAGCCTCACAACATACACACCCAAACCAAATAGCAAAACTTTTAACAAAATACTCATATTATAGCACCAAGTACAATATATTAACCAAACTATATATTCATTTTAACAAAGCTAGAAGTCATATAATTCAATACAAACCTATGAAATTTAAACTAATTCTTCAAGAAAACTACCAGCCCAAATTGAAACTCACGAACCTCATCCAATTCGGCTTCCGAGTATGGCGCGGTAAACATGAAATACCTACAACAAGAACAAATACATAAAAATATAAATCCAAAATAAACATAAAGAAAATAATCTATGTAATTACAAGAAAACACTAAAACTAATAACTTACGTCGGATAGCGGTATCGAAGATTGAGCACACAAAGAGATGATGAGCCACATAAATCGCATAGTATAATATTCACACTCTGCCCCCCCGGGTTATTGTGGTATTCCGGGAAGATCAACCCATTCTGGTTTAGCCTTAAGCTAAGGCAATTGTTGTTCCCGAAGAAACTTCCAAGACCTTAAAAATTAAAAAATAAATCATCATGAAAATAGTTCGTGACAAATAAAGACTTCCTTCAATATGATAAATCAAACTAATATAACTCATATTAATTCTTACTCGTTTACAAAAGTCTCCACTCTCATTTTCTTATGTCCTCCGGCCGCGAAGATTGAGTTCAAGAAATACATTTTAGTTTCGAACAAGCGTATTACTACTAAAACCCAATGATGGTTACAATTCAAATTAAAGGAGCGTTAGAATTTTTTATAATCAATAATAGATATAAAAAAACTTGATTACTTATTGAAAAGGATTTAGACAACGCACAAGCTCGGAAGATACAACGGCATAAGTATACAGTTACGGATCACCCCCAGTCCTACTTTTGGACCATCAGATGACCTAATTTTATCAAAGAGAATATTAGAGGTACACCAATAGTGCACCCTAATTACACATGAGAGATGCTAGGGTACACCAAATAGTGTATCCAAAGTGTATACTATTCACTTTGTAATCATATATTTTTATTCATTTTTTCTGTTTCTAACAATAGAAAGTGTGAGGTATGAGAGCATTTGAGGTGCACTTCTAGTGTTCCCTAAGCATTTTTCATTATACATTCGTGTGCAATTGAGGTATACTTTTTTGTAGACCTAAAAAACTAATCGGTCACATCACGTCCAAATTTGGGCACTTTAGATTCAGGTTATATCAGGTTGAGAACTACACGTTCATGATCCAATGTCATCGGATTCAGGTTAATCCAATGAGTTTTGAGATTTATTTTTAGAATACTAAAATTCATATTATCACTTGTATTTTGTATTAAAAATAATAAAATATCGAAATACATAATTAACACTTTTAGAATATTTTATTTTGAAATTTTAATTACATTTTAGATATATTCAACATGCATCTTCATCACCAGCATTTAGGGTTTTAGGCAGTCGCCTTCATCATCCAGTGCAGCGTGATTCATCATTTCGCCGGATTTATACAAGAAGGGTAGGGAGCCCAATTCGGGTCGAATATCCTCTTCCTCCTAAATTTGCGCTGCTTCCATAACAAATTTCTAATCAGATCTCTACTCTTCCTCCACAATCGCGTAGCCTCATAGGGATCTCACAGAGATTTTACGTCGGCTCTAGGAGACAACCAGGTGTACGATATAATTTATGCACAAATAACGGGTCACATAGTTTTAAGAATCGGACTGGCCGGTACGGGCCAGGAACTGATAAACCGGATGCAATACCAGTCCAGTCAAGTCATTCAGACTGTCATTAACCGCCGGGAATCAACGAAAACCGGCCGGTTAAACCGCCAACCTTTTTTTTTGCAAAAAATTTCAAAACTTTAGGTATATGGGATCAAATCCCTGACGTCATTAACATCACACTACCCTGTTACCCGTTGTGCCATGATGCATGTTGTGATATACCCGCACGGGTAGCCCAAGTGGCAAGTACTTGGTGAAGTTTGGAGAATGACCAAGAATCGAAACCTGGCAGCGATCGTTGTGGGGGCGACCACCTATGAAAAATGGGGGGAGTCTCTGGTGCGCACTAAGATATGGTCTAGCTAAGTGTTGTTGCTTGGGTCACCGTGATTTACCTCCTCTCACATTCCCATCGGGTCAAGGCTGAGGGGCGTCCGGGGTGAGCGATTTCACCTTTTTGGAGAATGATGCATGTTGTGATCATTTGAACATTTAGTTTAATTGTACTCTCTACGTCCCAAAAAGTCCGACACATTTTGAAAAAACTGCGTGCTGTAAAGTCCGTTACATTTCTATTAAAAAACCACTTTTACCCCCTACTTTTTCATACCCTACCTATCACATCATACCTTTTTCCTAATAATCTACTCATCACATCCTAATTTTACCCATCACATCAAGGGTATTTTTGGAAAGTCAACACCAAAATATCCCTCCCTTAATTTCCCAAAAAGTCAATATGTACCAATCGTTTTGGGACGGATGGAGTATCAAATATTCCTTAAGTATAAAATTATTTTTCAAATAACTTTGAAAAGTATAATTTATTATATTTGGGTTTTGAGCTAAGATTCAAAATCTAAACCATTGATGTAATTGATATTAGTATGAAGTGCATGTACACAAAATATTTTACTTATATATATTTTAAATATGAGATAAATTACTTGAAAAAATCATATCTACTCTTATTTTATAAAACTTTAAAACACATAAATTTGTATTTTTAACACACATAAATTACTTGAAAAAATCATATCTACTCATAATTATTTATTTCTAAATACGGGAAATATTATTTTGTTTACTCATATATATACATATAGGGTTTGACTCCAGTCAGATGACATGTTTCGGTCAAATGACACTTTCAGTCAGATGACATGCTTCAGAATGAACACTAGCTAGCTAGTTTGAGAATGAGCACTATGTTGTTTCAGAATGAACACTTTGTTGAGCAAACTAGGAATGAGTACTATGTTATTTTAGAATGAGTACTAAGTCTATAATCAGCAAATGTGCGAGAATGAATCCTACGTTGTTTGATAATGAACATCATGTTATTCAAAATGAACCATCTATTGTCAATTGCCTCACTTGGAATGAACACTATGCTTTTTTGAAATGAATAGTACGTTGTGATGAATAGTTGTGTGAGAATGAACCCTACGTTGGGTTAGAATAAGCACTACATTGATCCAGAATGAACCATACGCTGTCATCTGACTGAAAGTGTCATCTGACCAAACTTTGTCATGTGACTGGAGTCAATCCCATACATACACACACATACACACACACATATATATATATATATGAGATTGACTCCAATGAGATGACATGCTTCGGTGAGATGACGCAAAGCTCACCAATGACCAATGTAAAGTTCACCAGAAAATAAAGCAAAGCTCACCACTTTGAACACCAAAACTCACTTTTTTTTTAATTTTAAAAATTTAGAAAAAAATTAAAAATAAAATAGCAACACCGGTCAACCACCAGTCAGCAGCGGCGGCGGCCGGCGGAGGTTGGCGGACGGTGGTGGCAGGCGGTCTCCGGTGATGGTCTACGATTAATGGTGAAAGTCTAGTCAGCATCCCTTTCTTTGATTTTATTTTTTCAAAAAAAATTCAAAGTGTTGAAAAAATATGGTGAGCTTTGCCTAACAGTTTGGTGAGCTTTGTAGTTGTATTTGGTGAGCTTTGCAGTGACCAGTGGTGAACTTTGCGTCATCTGATCGAAGCATGTCATCTCACCGTAAAGTGTCATCTCACTAGAGTCAATCCCTATATACTCCCTCCGTCCCACTGTCTTTGTCCACTTACCTTTTGACACACCATCCAATGCACTTCTTTAATCTATTTTATCTTGTAATTTGTATATTAAAAAATTATAGAAATTATATATTAATAATCTATATGTTAAGACGAATCAAACAAGATCACACATGACTATTTTTAGGCTTACACATTGAGAGAATTTGATGAGTCAAAGTGCTTAGATGAACAGTTCTAAAAATCAAATGTAGACAAAGACAGTGGGACGGAGGTAGTATGTATGTATGTGTGTGTGTGTGTGTGTATATATATATATATATATATATATATATATATATATATATATATATATATATATATATATGGGTGAGCAATTTAACCGAACCGACCGCCATTTTAATTTCGTTTACGGTTTTCGGTTTTAATGTCTAAAATATTCGGTTAATTCGGTTATCGGTTTCGATTTTGGGCAATGTTAATCGAAACCGATTGAATAACTGAGCCCATAATATGTATATTAAATATATATAAGCCCAAACCAAATCTTTTAAATTATAGCCCACCTAAAAAAACCCAATTCTCGTTTTTCCTGTGACCCAATCTCAAAATCCCAAGTCCCAACCCCGTCTCCCCCAAATCGGCAAATCCCAGATCCCAAATCGGCAATCACCGTCTCCCGGCAATCACCATCTCCGGTCCTCACCAATCGATAATCACCATCTCCCGGTTCCGGCGTTCTCAAATCGACGCCTATCTCCCGGCAATCACCAAGTCTCGGTCCTCACCAATCGGCAATCACCATCTCCCGGTTCCGGAGTTCCCAAACCGACACCAAGATCTAATCGGCAATCACCATCTCCGTTCCGGCGTCAACCATCAGAAATCACCAGGTTTGTTCATTCTTTTTTGTTGCTAATTATTATTCTTTTAGATGCATTACTCCCATGTGTTATGTTTAAGCCTTTTATGTTTGTGGACAGATTTTCTTGCTATCACTTTGCTTTAAAAATTTGAGAAATGCTTCAATATTTGCAGTAGGCATTAGGTTTTTAGAATGAAAAGTTCGGTTTTTTCAAACCTACCGAACCCGATCGGTTTTTTCTCAGTTCGGTTTTTTCAGTTCTAGCTTAAATTCGGTCGGTTATTATGAGTCCTTTTAATTTTCGGTTATTTCTGAAGTACTAAACTATATACAGCTGAATCAGCCTGTCACCTATAAAAGTACGAAGTACATAAAATTGAAAATTTGAAAGGATAAAAAAACTCAATGACAAAGCATCATCTGAAACATGAAAATAAGATCTATATAATAGAGTTTCATACTCAATCCTCGAAAATGTACGCCAAAGAGAATGTATATGGTGATCTGAAAATACATTAATGATAATAGCATCTAAAAGTATATTTGAAATCTGTGTAGTGGAAACAAGATTTAATTTTTGGTTTGAGCATATTCGACAAGGATGGAAGTTGAAGGAGTGAAATTGAAAAAAATAAAAATAAAACTAAATACTGGAGATGGATATGGAAGAACGATGGGTGAATCGCTGATGAGAAGGCCAGAGCCGAAGGAATGCAAAGGTCGTTCCAGGACGATGATAATAGTAAAGATACTCCGCAATGCATAATAGCCACACATTTTGTGGGGGGCTTACGGCGGGGTTGGGGTGGGGGTGTAGGGGTGGAGGTAGGGTGGAGGGTTTAGGGGGTGGGTTAGGGGGGTAGGAACTGTCAATTTTACGAACGGAATCATGAACCGATTCGATTCTAAAATTATGACAGGTGTAGTCAATTTTTGGTAGGCCTTACTCTTTTTGTATACCCTATCAATTATCTTTATCCAACCTTCGGCCTCAAGCTAAATCTTACGGAGTATCTTTACTATTATCATCGTCCTGGAACGACCTTTGCATTCCTTCGGCTCTGGCCTTCTCATCGGCGATTCACCCACCGTTCTTCCATATCCATCTCAGGTATTTAGTTTTATTTTTATTTTTTTCAATTTCACTCCTTCAACTTCCATCCTTGTCAAATATGCTCAAACCAAAAATTAAATCTTGTTTCCACTACACAGATTTCAAATATACTTTTAGAGGCTATTATCATTAATGTATTTTCAGATCTGTGCTTAAAAAAATCGGAATCGGATATTTCACGACATATACATTCTCTTTGGCATACATTTTTGAGGATTGAGTATGAAACTCTATTCTATAGATCTTATTTTCATGTTTCAGATGATGCTTTGTCATTGAGTTTTTTTATCCTTTCAAATTTTCAATTTTATGTACTTCGTACTTTTATAAGTGACAGACTGATTCAGTTGTATATATTTTAGTACTTCAGATTTTTACTGCATTATTCTTTTCCATCTTCAATTTTTATTTCTTTAGATGCTTCAATTTTAGAAATACACTATGTAGTAATACACTTTTCATTTTTATCCTTGTTTTAGTATACTTGATTGAGAGTGGAACTAAGAAGGATGATATTATTAGCAGATTAGGCTAGCAACAGTCGTGATGTTGAAGAAGGTGATTTAGAACAATATGATTATAGCCATTATTTTATGGTTTTGAAAGATCATCCCTAGAATAACCCATTGTTTAGTGTTTTGCTGTGGCACTTGTGGGATAGTAGTACTATTACTTTTTCTCATCAATTTTTGGAACGTGAATCATATGTTTTTGTCATTGCGACTGCTAGATGATGTTGATGTGAGTAGTTTAAGAACTGTTCTATGTATGCATTATCTAGTTTTTTTATGGCTATTAAAATAATAGTCGTGAAAAGCGTGCCTGATGGCAACGTACAAGAGGCATGCTCATAACTTAGAATCATCGCATTTTGCGATACAATTGGAGGCGCTATAGGGCGCACATCGCGGATGAGCCCTTTTTTTATTACTTCGTGTAATCTTTTGGCTTTATGATTAGTGTTGACTCACTTTTCTCAGTCACACTCTTCCCCCTTTGTGTGCTTCGGCCTTGCTTCTTCCGCCTCTTCGACTTTGGCCTCAGTGTCGCGAGCCTTCCATGCGTCGGCTTTGCTTCTTCTTTCTATATTGACTGGACTCTGGCACTCTGCATCATCAGGGTAGTCGCTTCTCAGTTTTCTTTTTCATATTTTTAATCGCGAGGCTTCCATGTTATTTTTGCTTCTCCTGGCTGTTTTGTTTCTTCCCATTAATAGAAGGTTAGTCTCTTCTCAGGGTGTTCATATGTTTCTTTGGTCACTTTCGTTTTTTTAATCGTGAGACTTCCCTGTTTTTTTCATTCCCTAGCAGTCTCGTGTCTTCCCATTCATACTCTTTCATTATGGAAATGGAAGAAGCTATTTGTTTGTGAAATGCTATTTTTTCCCTGGCGGTTTTTGTTCTTTGAACTTTAGGTTTTTTCTTTGTCAATGGTAATATGTTTGACTTTGATTTTTGGTTGCTTTCTAAAATTTTATTATGTCTTTCAAAATTTTATATGATATGTTGCTAGTTTAGAGATGCTATGCTACTTGTGCCTCAATGGCTCAATTTCTGCCTCATGTTCGCGATGCACGCTCATCAATGTCTCATTGTGCACCGAGTCTCTGGATCCTCTTCGTGCATCGGTGTGCATTAGGCCTTAAACAACTATGGTTAAAATGTTGGGTTTTGAATATTTCAAGTTCTTTTTTTGTAAAGAGCATAACTTTGGACATAATAACAATGACTTTCATGCAAAATGTTTTACTATATTCCATCTTAACATTAAGAGGACTGAATACCGTGCTCTGAGATTAGAAATCTAAGACAATATCTTCATGGCTCTCCTAGTTTGACTGATTTGATTGGTTTGGTTTTATACTTTTGCTTAATGTTCAACTTCTAATATAGACTAAGGGGATATCTTTTGAACACGCTTGTTGAATGTTCTAACAATATTGATTTCTCAAAGTGTGTTCCTAATATTAACTGCAGAACTGATAATTAATCTGGAAGTTTTGACTACCATGGCTTCGTCATATCTCCCTGCGACAACAGAGTCACTCATTCAGGCTTCTGAGGCAAAAAATCCATCTGAGTCCCTCTCTATCCTTTATGGCATCCTCAACAACCCGTCATCATCCTCTGATTCTTTAAGGATAAAGGAACAGGCCATCTCCAACCTTTCTGACCTGCTAAGACGAGAGAACAGGCCTGATGATCTCAGAAACCTTCTCACCCAACTGCGACCCTTCTTCTCTTTGATACCCAAAGCAAAAACTGCCAAAATTGTCCGCAGCATTGTTGATGCATTGGCGAAAATACCCGGCACATCTGAAATTCAAATCGCTCTTTGCAAAGACATAGTCCAGTGGACCCGTGATGAGAAACGAACTTATCTTCGCCACAGAATTGAGGCTAAACTTGCTTCATTGTTGATGGAAAGCAAAGAGTATGCCGAAGCATTGTCTCTCCTTTCTGGCCTTATCAAAGAGGTGAGAAGATTGGATGACAAGCTTTTGCTTGTGGAGATTGACTTGCTGGAAAGCAAGCTTCATTTTGCATTGAGAAACATTGCCAAAGCAAAGGCTGCCCTGACCGCTTCCCGAACCGTGGCAAATGCCATATATGTGCCTCCCGGTCAGCAGGGCTGCATAGATCTGCAAAGTGGTATCCTCCATGCGGAAGAGAAAGACTACAAAACATCTTACAGCTATTTCTACGAAGCGTTTGAAGCTTTTAATGCTCTTGAGGACCCACAGGCAATATATAGCCTCAAATATATGTTGCTTTCCAAGATCATGGTTGGCCAAGCTGATGATGTGACAAGCATAATATCATCACCTAAGGTTGGGTTGCAGTACCAGGGGCCTGAACTGGATGCCATGAAAGCAGTGGCTGATGCTCACTCAAAACGGTCTTTGAAGCTGTTTGAGATTGCACTTCGGAATTTCAAGACACAGCTGGATGAAGACCCGATTGTCCAACGGCACCTGTCGTCCCTCTACGACACACTGCTGGAGCAAAACCTCTGCAGGCTGATTGAGCCGTTCTCAAAAGTTGAGATTGCCCATGTGGCTGAATTGATCGAGTTGCCAGAGGAACACGTTGAGAAGAAGCTGTCTCAGATGATTTTGGACAAGAAGTTTGCCGGAACCCTTGACCAGGGCGCTGGATGCCTCGTCATATTCGATGATCCCAAGGCAGATGCCATATACCCGGCTACGTTGGAGACCATCTCAAACATGGGGAAGGTTGTTGACAGTCTTTTCCTAAGGTCTGCCAAGATAATGGCCTGATTCATGATTGCAGACAGCATCTCAGGATTTCAGTTTTATCCTTGCCAAAATGTTCGTCTTCCCTTTTTTATCCATTCCAAAAAATTCTCTTTCAATTAAAATAACATGCTTATGCTAGCTAAAGACAATGTGGTCGAGCACCATCGTTGTGACTCTTTCAAATTGAAGGTTTCGGGTTTGATTCCCGGCGAGGGTGTTGACTTTCTTATGCTTAAAAGTAAAAACCAATAGGTTTAGAAAGTACGTTTGAACAGATACTCTACATTAATACTAAAAAACATACTTACCCTAGTTCATTATCATCCTATGGGGGTGGTTCAGGTGACATGAACCGCCCATGTCATCCTATGACATGGGCTTCGATTAGGGCATTTATGATGCTCCGTTTGAAAAATTGATGGTTCATATCCCACTAACTTTCCGGTAAACCCCCTGTCCCTGATCCGGCCCTGACATACCCTTGCACCCCCGTCAATTGCATGCCACAAGATTTAGTTGACTTTGGAGTCAAAATTTGACTCCAAAGTCAACTAAATCTTGTGGCATGCAATTGACAGGGATGCAGGGTATGTTCGGGCCGGGCTAGGGTGGGACGTTAATCGAGGGCGTTAGGGGATAGGAACCATCAATTTTTTTAACGGAGCATCGTATGAACCTTAGGTCATCCCATAACATTGAATCTCGATATCATGGAAACAAAGGTGTTATCTTATACTCTTGTCCCGAATAGATCGTCTCGCTTTTCTTTTTACTTCGTCCCAAACAAAATGTTTTACTTCTTTCTTACCTAATAAAGTATGTGGTCTACTATTATTTTCCCAAATCAAATTCTAACCACTTTTTTTTAAATTTTTAACAGTTTTCTTAAACATCGTGAAGTAGAAAGTGAAACGGAATTTGGATGGAGTATGCCACATTCTATTATATATATATATATACTACCTTCGTCTCAGAGTATTTGTCCACTTTCATTTTTACACATCATCCAATACACTTCTTTAATCAATTTTATCTTGTAATTTGTGTATTAAAAAATTATAGAAATTATATATTAATAATCTATATGTTAAGACAAATCAAACAAGATCACACATAACTATATTTAGGCTTACACATTGAGAGAATTTGATGAGTCAAAGTACTTAGATGAACAGTTCCAAAAGTCAAAACTGGACGAATACTCCGGGATGGAGGAAGTATGTATGTATGTATGTATGTATGTATGTATGTATGTATGTATGTATGTATGTATGTATGTATGTATGTATGTATGTATGTATATGTATATGTATATGTATATGTATATGTATATGTATATGTATATGTATATGTATATGTATATGTATATGTATATGTATATGTATATGTATATGTATATGTATATGTATATGTATATGTATATGTATATGTATATGTATATGTATATGTATATGTAT